CAGCAGATTTCATGACCAATGTTCTTCCACATGATGCATTCAACATGTGCAAGGCAAGAGCAGGCCTCATGACACTTCATGAAGCAGTGGAGCAGTTTGAGGAGAATGAGGAGTATGAGGGGAAGAGACGTGGGCAGCGGCATGAAGTGTATGCTAAGGAGAAGTGAAAGGAGCATCAGCATGGGTGTATGTGTGCTTCGGGTCTGGTGCGAGGGGGAGTGTTGGAGAATCAAGTTTCTGCCGCCCCAGCCCTTTGCACACAAAGCAGCAAGGGGGGAATGTCGGCGACGGATTGAAGGATTTGCAAACAAATCATAAAGTTTCTCAACCAATCAGATTGGAGCCGAATTCTCGATACAGTTCGGAATTGTTTTCAAGAAGAAGTGTCAAAAATTTCTACAGGGTTCTACCAAACAAAATCAGCTATGACAAAGAAATCCAGAGCTTTCTTATTCATGCACCTCATGTGGCTCTCAAGTCACTCAAGGTTCATGGAATCTGAATTGTGCCTAAGTTATCCAGGAAGTTGCTTTGTCTAGCAGCCTAGTTTGAGCTATCAATCTGCATGATTGTAATGCTTAAGAAGTTGTGCCTTAGTGGGCTTGTACAATCTTGAGCATAGTCTAGCCAAGTTTCCAGCCTTCCAGCCATCAGAGCTACCGTACTCTGTTTTACAAGTGAAACAGCTTTGCCAGCGAAGTTAGGGCGCATCACCTCAGGGCTGGAAGGCCCAAATCCGAACATACGTAACGAATTCACTGTACGAACAGTTTCCCGACGAGATCCGAACACAAATTTGAACACCCTGGTGAATGTGAGAGCTCGTGATGAGAGGTGACAGGGTACATTTGGCCTCAAATGTGTTTGCCCCAGGGCACTGTAGCGGGAACAGAAAGGAAAAATCGGAAAAAACAAAAGATTCGCGCCCCCTGCTGTTGGGGAAATCCAACTTTAAAAAAAAACGATCAATGTATTTTTTTTATGTAGTAACCCTTTCCTTTGTAGGGTCCAATGTTGGCCCGTGAACAGTGAACCCAGGTGGAATCAGAAAAGTGATTCTTCCGTTTTCAAAGAATCACCACCTTCTTCCAATGTTCGCCCGTGAACAGTATCACTAGGGCGGAACCTGTCTGCCAAGGGGGGGAGAATAGGGACAGAAGACGGTGCGGAAAGTTTACCCTACATCCCGTACTGTTTGGCCCTCGATAATGCAATTAGAAGCTTTTGAGGTGTTCGCGTCGCTGCTGCTAAATACATGCGTTTCGATTTTCGGAAATTTAACCCTACAGCCCGTACTGTTTGGCCCTCGATAATGAGACTAGAAGCTTCGAAACATTTTTCTTCCGCCCCTTCTCCAGTGGCTGCCGAACTGAGCCTAGAAATTTGTCAAATACGAATTCGCCTTATACTGAGAAATTTGTGATCGGGTCCAGTCTGACTGAGGTTGGTCTGATAGGGGCCCCGTAGGAACACGCTCTAAGGCATAAAATCTCGTTTTCATTCGGCGACATGCTTGTGCCTATGTACACACCCTAATACATTATGACAAAGAAAGGTACTGATAAATGTACTAGCTTCCAGTTGCCACAGCACATTTGTCCGTGGGAACAGAAGCAAATACAAAAAAAAGGCTAAGGTACCGTACGTAAAGCCTGCTGTGACAAGATGACATGCTGCATTTAGAGCGACACAGTCTTGCGAAGGGGAGCGAGCTCAGCGTTCTCTTCGCATTGAGGTGTCCGCGTCGTCGTCGTTACACGCTTAGGTGTGCCGTTGCGCGTTCCAAGGATCTCTTGACGATGGACAGACATTCCGCAGGCACTGGAGATTGAAGCCTCTTCATCTTCATCGAACGCTGCCAGTCGAGATCGACGCACGGAACCGTGTCGGCAACCTAAAACGCGTGCACGTGTCAGTTCAATGTCATCAGGTGAGTGCGCGCCGAAACGACGATCCAAGTCGTCAACGTACACAGCAACAGCTCCATGCACAGCCGGTGTGAGTCTTGAAGCTGACGTGGCCAAAGTAGAGGCCATCCCGCATGTGTCGGCGATAGGCGAACGAGGCATGCAAGCGCGAACGAAAGCCAGAGAGGCAGAAGATTCCATAATGGATTCTAGGGTTTGACAATGAAGCTTAACCTCAGCTTGCGAGGGGTTCGCTTAAACGGCGACGCGTAGATACGTGCTTTTTACTAGGGTCAAATGAGAAAGCAGCTGGAGTGGTTCGCTCAAATTGAGGCGAGGAATAATTGTACGGAGAGGGCAGGTGCTGCAGATACGAGGTAAAATGTGATGGTAGCGAACTTTTTATGCGCTTTGGAGCAGTGATGGGTGTTAGACGTATCAGTGGCAGAAAATCACGAGACGAGGGGAGGAGGGCGGAACCAGGCAAAGCGGAGAACAGAGCGGAAGGGAGGCGGGGTGCAGCGTTGAAGCATGGGCGGAGCCTCAATTGAAGCGCACACGAAAGGCTGGCGGGCAGAACATGCTTTGGTTGGCTGCGCGGAACGAGTATGGCGGACCAGGCTCCAGGTGCCAGTGTTGTCTGTGGGGGAAGGGATTCGAGTTTGATTTTGTGGGAATCATTTCCACTGGGAGCACGAGGCCCCACCTGAGGTGAGGTGGTTTGGTAAGCATGTGGGTAGAAATATCCACTCTTCCCGCCCAAGCTGCACTGACCATGAAATTGGAGGGTCAACAACACGCATAATCAACTGGTGTTGAAAAATGCTGTAAGCTAAAATCTAATCCTTTTGCTTCGCTATAGCCTCGGGGGCGTTTCCGCAGCATCTATAACACTGTAGACTTCGTTGACCTGGAACTTGACACGATCCTCCTTACCCCTCCAGCGGATTCGATTACACTGACTGTTTCCTGGTGACAGGAGAGGATGTGATGTAACGCACGTGAAATGCATCGACTGAACAGCTCGGCTCGTACAGTCTTCGTTGAAGCCCACGTGACGTTGTCATCAGGGCGCAAATGATGATTGAAGTGGTGTGTGGTTGGCCCCGAATCTCATCACCCTAGTCTCTCCCCAGAGAACGCAACCATTTTGTGGAGGGGAAGAAAGGCAGGGGCGGCGGAAATGATTGAAGATGGGTGGAAAGTGTGTCCATGTGTGTGTGTGTGTGTGTGTGTGTGTGTGTGTGTGTGTCTGTGTGTGTGTGTGTGTGTGTGTGTGTGTGTGTGGGTGTGTGTGTGTGTGTGTGTGTGTGTGTGTGTCTGTGTGTGTGTGTGTGTGTCTGTGTGTGTGTGTGTGTGTGTTGTGTGTGTGTGCGTGTGAGTTTACGCGGTGTTCAAAGATTGAAGAGGGTTGTGTATGCGCCTGTGCGGTGGTGAGGGGCGGGGAGGGAAAACGGTGAGAAACCATTCCTGGAATCCTTAACCAGAATACTCGCTACTGTTCCTTCAATATTGTGATGCCATTTCTTGCAGAAATGAGTGTATGCTATGTAAGTTGTGGAAAATCTTATCCACACATGCTTATAATGCTATCCATCGACTCTGAACATGTAAGTCTGATCAGGGAGATAAAAGTTTTGTTGGAACAAGCTGACTTCGCTGTTCTGAATCTGGAGATTTGGAGTATGAAACTTCACTCCGGCCGCCATAGTCCTCTTTTTGCCTCCGCAAAGGCGTCCCATTCCTAACTCCTAGGACCTGGAGTCACCTCGTACTATGCTGATGACAGTTGACAGCAACATTCAAGCTCTCGGGCTTGCATGTTCCAGATAAGGACACGTCCGATGTCCATGCCGCGTCCATCGCTTCATCATCATCGTGACGATGCGCGTCGTGAGCGAAACAGGTAACCCGAAACCGTCATGGGGAGCCAAATCTGCAGCCAAGAACGCTCGCGCGAGTCTCTTCAATGTTCGCGCCCGCAGCGCCAGAAATGTTCTCAAAGCGCTCCAAATAGACGTCGACTTTGCCGCCCACGACGATATAGTCGGTACATCCACTGTCGACGTAGGTCACACCACTGCCTAAAGTCGGTTGCTCCATTGTTCGTGCGAGTACAGCAGCTGTGGCGTGACTAGTAGTCTTGCGATCGTTTACGGGAAGGGACATTTTTTTTTTTTTTTAACGCGTTACGACCTCGCGGAGTGAAGCTGAAACTCGTGGATTTAAGGCGAGAGCTGCTAAAAAAATTCGACAAAAATGTGATGCTTGGGAGCGTCGGATCCTTCGCTCGCATTTGAAGAGCCGTCATTATCGCCATGCGCTCCTAAAACTCTCTGGAGTTTCGACTGTGCTCTAGAAGCTGTGTGGCTCACCTCCTCCTAAACTCCACGTCGCGAGTTCTCATAGCTGGAGATGCTTGCTCATGCATGGATATTGGAGAAATGTCGGGTAGGGTAGTTGGTAGGAAGGACGAGTTGGATTCTCAGGAGTAAAACCAAATCTTGCTTCAGGTGGATGTCCTTGAATGACTGGGAAATGTGCGGTCCGAAGTGCTCAATTGTGCGCTTCGACATGCTCATCACCACCGCGTCCGCCGACAGGCAGAACCGTGTGCGCTGTTTTAGGGATCATGCGTACGTGACCGGGAGCGTGACACCTGGATATCTAGGCAATTGATGTGCTGGACATTGACTCCACGTACGTGTCCTTTCATTTTAGTATCAGCCGCAGTGAGATTGGATTGACCTAGATAGTTTTGTAGCCCCTGCACAATCAAACAGCAAACAGAAAAATCTGTTTTCTCTGTAGTTCACAACAGTTTTTACATTCAAATTGCACGAATTTAAAGCTGATTGGGAACATAGCACAATGCATGTTATTATAATACTTGACATCAATACAATTTATTACATAAATTTCTCATTAAACGCTTCCTGTAGTGTACTCTGTTTCATTTATTACATAAATGCTTGTCAGAACTTCACCTTCTCTTTCAGAAATAGGATCCCTTCTTTCTTGCATAAATACGTGATGTTGTGGAACATCCAGTCGGCGCTGCCGCGAGCGACGCGGAGCCCATCGTCGATTCCGATGTCAGCCCGTGCCATGGCTTGGGAATGGTGTCGAAGCGATGGGCCTCGCTGCTGCCCGTCGTGCGCATCAGCGCTCCTGCCGACTCTCCACCTCGTCGGGAGGACTGTTACTGTCACGACGACTCGCCGCTCCCCGTCCCCACGCTCCGCGCCCGCGCTTCTCCGCTTGCTGTCCCGCGCGCCGAGCATGACTTCCCTCTCGCTGGGCGACGGCGCCGTCGATTTCTACGACGATAGCTTTATTATCTCGCTGCTCGCCGCCTGTCCCAAGCTGACCTGCTTGAGCCTCGGCGATCCTCGTTTCACCGCCGCACCGCCGCCCTTCACCATCAGCTTCGCATCGCTCAACTCACTCTTCCGCGCTGCAGCGCCGCAGTTACAGGTGCTCGCGCTGCTGCTTCCTTACGAGGCCAGGAAGCTTCTCGATTCCATTTCGTCGCTGTCGTCGCTGCGCGTGCTTCGCCTCCGCTCCAACACGATCCAACAGCTCCCGGACGGACTGTGCAATCTGCCCGCGCTCCAGGAACTGCAGTTCAGCTGCTCGATGCTGTGGGATGTGCCCGAGGACTTCGGGCAGCTGAAAGCTTTGACGCGCCTCTCCATCGTCGACAGCATGAACGGCGCGCGCAGCCTGCCCGATTCTCTGGGCGACCTCTCGTCGCTCACCTCGCTCTGCATAGCCTTCCCGTGCGGGCGACTCCCGTGTAGCATCACCGCGCTGCAGCAGCTGCGGCGCCTGCAGCTGCGACGCTACGACAGCCTCGACTGGCCAGACGGGTGCGAAGCGTGGACGAGGCTGGAAGAGCTTTCGCTGGAGCAATGCAGCGTGCGCTCTTTCCCGCCTGCGTGGCTGGAAACCCTAAAGCGCCTCACTGTTCGCTTCTGCGACAATTTCAAGTCGCTCCCCTTAGATGACGTCGTTCGAACCTCACCGTTGCGTCTCTTGACTCTTGAGGAAGTCCTGGCGTTCGACAATTTACCGCTCCACCCTCTCAGTCGACTCACCTCCCTCCAACGACTCAAGGTCTCGGTTAAAGCCCTTTTCCGACCCATCATTACTGGGAAGGAGGAATTTCCAGTGGGCTTGTTGGCGTTGCCGTCGCTGGCGCACGTGAGTGTGGACAGGGTGGCGTGGGTGGAGCAGGGCGACGCGCCCAAAGGGTCTCTGCTGGCCTATCTGCCTCTAGCCCTCGCTTCGGAAACTGCTGCCGCTGCCGATGCCTCTGCCGCCGCCGCTGCTGCAGCTGCCGCTCCTCCTGCTGCTGCTGCTCTTGCTACTGCCGCTGCTAGGGCTGCTGCTGCTTCTGCCACTGCTGCTGCTGCTGCCGCTGCAGCCGCCACCGCCGCCGCCACTGCCGCCGCTCAATCCGGGTGCTCGCCTCTCGGCCCCTCGCTGCAGCACCTAGAATTGAGCTTAGGTGAAAAGTGCCCACAAGGCAGCTACCTATCCGCCCACCTCTGGTCCCTCTGCTCGCTCACGCACCTCTCCATCACCGATCTCAAGCCTAGAAGTCTCGTGATGGCTGCCTTTGGCTGCCTCACCAACCTCCGCAATCTCTCCCTCTCCGGCTGCTTCCTCCGCCTCCCTGACTCCCTCTCTCTCCTCGCCCCATCCCTCCAGTTCTTATCGCTGGAGTACAACTCTTCCTCCACCGCCAGCACCAGCAGAGGCACCAACAACAGCAGCGGCAGCGGCGGCGGCGGCGGCAGCGGCGGCGGCGGCGGCAGCGGCGCCTCAGACTGCCCTAGTGAGGGAGGTGAGGTGGAAGATGAACAGCAGCAGCAGCAGCAGCGGCAGCGACAGCGACAGCAGGAAGGCAAGCGCCCCACTCCGCGCCTCGCACTACCCTCGTTCATCTCCCACCTCACCTCCCTCACCGAGCTTCACCTCACAGACGTTTTCATTCCCTCTCCCCTTCCTCACCTCGCCCGCCTGCTCGCACTAAAAATATTGCGCATCACGAGGAGCGCCCACCTTCCACAATCTGAGCCCTTCATTCCCGAGAACATCGGCGAGCTGGCATCGCTGGAGTCGCTGGAGCTGAAAGGACGCGTGTCGGGTAAGGAAGCTTCGCCATATATGAGCATGTTAGCCAGGATGGCTAGAGGAGAAGAGCCGCAGCCTGAACGGTGCAATCACTTGGAGCATTTACCACAAGGGTTAGGATCCCTTGGGGCACTAACGAGGGTGACTATCGAGGGTTCGTTTTCCTCTCTGCTAGACACCCTCGGCGGCCTGACCTCCCTGCAAGAAGCATCTCTGAAGTCTCCAGTCCTTGCCAGCCTGCCTCCCTCCTTCTGCCTCCTCCCTCGCCTCCACACACTCCAGACTCGCTTCATGAGGCGCGTGCCTCCAGCTTGGGTGTGGACCAGCAACTCTCCATCGGCCGCGAACACGTTGCAGTGGACATTCCAGGCACTGTGGGGGGTGGCGACATCTCACATTCAGCTCGCGTTTTGGCGCACTGGGTGCGTCCCGGACGAGTGGCTGCCTCGGCTTCAGGCGATCAACCGCGACATGCATGTCGAGGTTGTGGAGCAGCTCGTCGTTAGCCTCACAGGCCTGCAGAGGAGGCTGGACCAGTTGGACATCCCCGACTACGTGATGGATACATTGGACTACGCATCTTGGGATGACACCATGGACGAGGATACGGCCGAACGTTTTCCAGAGCCGGTCATCCGTCGGATTGATGATTCAAGCTGTGTCGGCCGCGTCAAATGGGACGACAGGACTCGCCGTCGGTTCATGCGTATGGCATCTGATGCGTACACAAGGCTTGCTAGCGCGGCGGGAGTAGCTCCGAGTGTTGTCGTCACGCTTAAGCGCTTGGGGAACCCGGACCTCGTTGACCGTCTGCTGCGCACACCAGAGAAGAAGGTTAGGAGGCATTCATACGCGCCTTCCTCGTCCATGTCTTCCACGGCCAGCGAGGAGATATGCTTCAACTCCCCAACGGCATCCCTATCTAGCGTGCATGGGGATATTGAGTATGGGATGTAGTAACTGATGAGCCCTATTGATCTCAGTAACCGTTGTATTTGTCGAATAATACGCACATTGTCATTCATTGTCTACGTAACGAGATTGTTCACGTTGGGGATATAGCACATTCCACGCTCAATCCGAGAGCGAGTAAAATGTTCACCTCCCCGATATGGCACATACTGAAGAACGCGCGAAGTAATTTTGCACTTTTTGCTCGGTATACCCTGTTGACCATGAAAGCGTGCCAACAATCCACAAACCATTCCACACCGCTTCCAATCGTCCCACCAGCCCGTTCCTCGATTTCCATAGGACGGACACTTACAAAACCCTAACGTCCGCCTAATGTTACCGATTTCAGTTGGTAGTGGCATGATGAGCGCAACGCGTAGTAAAGCGCGCGACGTGCTGGAGCCTCGTCGGCGCAACACCCGGGGTTATTTCATACGGTCTAAGCCCACTATAGCCTACGCCATAATGCAGGTGCAGGGTGCCATAATGTCACAACGAGGTCAGACCCTTAGCGCGGCCACGATTCTTAGGTCTCTGGACCCATTCCTGGGTAGTGGAAGGCGCAGTCCTAGACAGCACAGGGCGCGCGCGATTTCAGAAGCCCGTGCGTCTCTTGCAATAACACCCGATGCACCCACACCGTTCATGTACCTGAGGCTCATATACGCCACGTATCCGGACGAGTCGGAGTCGAGCATTACACGTGCCAAAGGTCGCCGGTTTATGACGTCAATAGCGGATTACAGACTCGTAAATCACAGCGCAACAAGCCTCGAGGATGTCATAGTGCTGGAGTTACCGACATTTGACTACAGAGTCGTTCTAATGGCCGAGGCAAGGGCGATGGGATATGAGGTGAGGATCGTTGGCGTGCCGACTGGGTGTGTTTCAGATGGCCATGAAAGGTGTGGGACGTTTATCTGGTGTGCAGGAGGAGAGACATCGGTCCGATGGGTCCAGGATTTCGGCACCTCACTCACGAGACATATGCACGGGATGTGGCACCTCATCCATTGTAAGACGTATACGTTGTTCCGTTGATGCCCTTACAAAGGACGGTGTGTGTTGTGGTGCCTGCATATCCTACGCTAAACCTAGATGAAGCATGTTTCAGGTGCACAGGCCCAAGGTGTTGAAGGACATGGACGAAGGAGTGCGCATCGGGGATCTCAGTCGTGCTCTGGGAATGATACCTTGGTGGTCCAAGGTATCTACTAAGCCCATGCAAGAACAGTCCATGACGGGCACCTCATCCAAGACTATTGATTGTGCCTACGTTCGCCTAGTAAAGTATAACGCCAACCGGTAGACATGACCTTTTGACTTATCGGCGTGTTGGCATAGTTTGATACGGAACGGGATTAGACTGTGCCGTCGAAATGTTAAAATACTTGCAGATGTAGCCAGTTTGAGATTTGATGTATCATGTAAACATTAAACCTCTAGAGTTTTCAGGGCCGTTCACGGTATCGAGCTTCTTTGTACATGTCGTCTAACACACACCGTAAATCAATCGGGTGTACAACGTCGAATGTACAACATCGAACGGCGAGATTTTAACGGCGATATCGCTGACGGAAATGGTTTCCGAAGTGGCTTCGAACAAATAGGAGGCAGATACAAGGAGTCATTTAGCACTGTGTGGCTATTCGTTCAAACCCTAACCATATTCCAGTTATGGCCTCCCCTAGCAGCAACGACACAGAGGTAGCGGCGCGTCACATAAACAAGCTACTGGGTGGTAGCTTTGATCGAGATGGAACGCGTATGCAGGGAACGCCAGCGTGTGGTGATATAAACGCGGGTGCCGACATAAGTCGAGATAAAACCATCATTGTGACTGTTACACCCGAGCCACAAACTGGTAATGGCCGACAGCCGGTGGTAGACGCATCTGATGATGCAACGGAGGATGGAGACGCGGGGGCTACGCAGTCAATTACGGGACCTGTGAACCACGAACAGGCCACGATATCAGCAGGGGGGAATGTAGATGCTGCACAATCGGTACCTAGTAGCTGGGAGAGGATGCAGATTGAGGAAATAGACGCGGGTGCAGAGCGCAAAGATCCAGCGGCCGATTCTCGCGAAGGTTCTACCCGCGTGAATGATCTCTTCGACTTCTTCTTCCCTGGCAACAGGGGCGACAACAATAATGTGCCCGTTGAGACGGGAGAGTCAGACCCTCCAAACCCGTCCAGGTCTGGATCGGCGTACAGGGTCCCGGGTAGTTTCGTGTCTAGCGCCGCTACTCCTACGAGGCACGTCCGGTCGCAAACAGGTGAGTACCAAACATCATGAATTGCTTGACTGCGTGCTGCCACTTATGGGAGCCATGTTGCACGTTATTAACCTCGCGCTGCTATGCGTTGCGCCCATGTCCCATAGGATGTCCGGATGAACGTACACACGAGTATGGGCGGCGCCGCGAGAGGCGGAGGCGTACGCACGTCGAGGACCCCAGAGGTAACGACCGTCCTATTATTTGCCGTGACCGATGCTTCACATTGCCTCACGACTTGTCTTTGTGCCCTTATGGCAGATGGTACCAGGGCCACCAATATTGATGGAGCGTTGCTCCTGTTAGATGTACTTGATCGTCTCTTGCGGCGACGTCGTAGTCGGCGTGACCACCGTGGCAGCTATTACTGACAAGTTTACCCCAATATGGCAGGAATGTTAAGCAATCCGTACTTGTAGTGCTTTTAGTTGCCCTGACCCCGCTTATGTATTCGATTTTAAGTATGCCATTGAGTGGTTGTGTGACACATGTGGAAAAATGCATTGGCAATGGCATAGGTTTCCTAGGGGTGTGAACAATTGTTATGAAATTTCACCGTTTATGTCTGGCAAGGATGGGAGATAGTCCATCGGAATTGACAAACGGGGTTCGAACATTGATGATCTATGTTTTGCTGTATCGAGAATATTCCCACGTCGTGGTGTAACAACCGCGCCTGAACAAAGCGATTGCATACTTCACGAAGGGATGTCTTACCGCATGCATTTCAGACGGTTAGGGTTTCTCGCTACGGATAAGGCCGCCCGCCAGGACTCTCCGCCCTTTTGTGCGTACACGATGTATTTGACAAGCCATTCTAGCAGCTGTGATAATGGGGTGACGTAGGCGGAAGACCCATGTTCCGAACATGCAGTAGTAGTAACTGGAGTAATAGAACGGTCTGCGGTGCGCGAGACGTGGTGTACGGGGTTTCGGTGGTAGGATGCAGGGCGTGCGCGGCTCGAAAACAGCATAGCTCCTACATGCGTGTAGTGGAGAACATGCATGACGGTAATGGTTAGCTAATGGGAATTAGAGGGGAAGTCAGGGAACGGCCATTGGGTGTGTGCGCAGATTAAGACACATGGCAGGGAACAGGTGCGGGTCGTGCGGGCAGGAGCTGGAGTCAGACAACCTACTGAGAATCCATCTGTATCGCAATGACACGTGCAGGGACACGCTGCTCGAGAGGCTCGAGAGTAGGGCGGTGGAGGCGTTGGCGGAGGCTTTGGCCGAGGTGAGAAATAGCCCGCATGATTCGGACAGTGAGTCAGTCCCGGGCAGCCCCCACTCCGCCGACTCGCTGTTCAGATATTTGAGAGAGTTTCCCGAGCACGCGGATTTTGTGCGCGGGTACGTGTCGACGTCGGACGATGGATCTGTATCCACAGTTGGCGACCTATCAACACCTTGAACGAGCTGTACCTGTTCTTCAAGGACGCTGATTTGTCGGACAGAGAAATAAATAGAGTGTTGCACATATTCAACCACCCGGGATACGATCCTGCAGCGGTTCGGCGCTGGCAGAACGTCGCCGACGTCAGGCGGTTTGGGGAGGAACACGCGCCGGACGACATGGTGCCGTGGCTCAAGGCAGAGATTGAGGTGCGGGGCCCCGGAGGAAGGTGTCAGATGCTGGAACTGCTGTACAAGGACACCAAGCTGGTGAGCGATTGATGGTTGGTGCTGCACGGAGTCGGCGAGTATATGTCCGTTTATGCACTGGCTATACACAGGCTTCACGCGCCTCCTTGTGAACAGATTGCGCAGAAGATGGTGAAGACATTCGTGAATGTTAGGGGATTTGTCAAACGGCCGCGGCGAGATCCAGAAGATACGGCTGAAACAAGACATTTCAGTACCCCCGACACAGGGACTTGGCTGGAAGAGGCGCAGGCAAGTAGAGGCAA